CACACACACACACACACCCACACACACACACACACACACACACACTAAAAAGGAGGAGGAGGGTAAAGGAAAGAAAGTTCTGGAACCAGACAGACCACTGGGTCCACCCCAGCTTTGCCGCTGGCATAGGCAGAGGGCTTCCCTTGCAGCTACAGCTTCCTCTCTGTGAGCCGTGAGTGGAATGAGTTGACAAAGCCAGCTGTAACCCTGCCTCACAGAGCCCCTGCCAACCTCAGGACCCGAAGTTGGTGTGATGCCCCTCCACGGCACCCCTCCACCGTCAGAGTTGTTTGTTTCTTGGGACATCCCCCTGCCGCACCCCACCTCAGCCATGTACCCCTGGCTCTCACCAGCTGGCCCTCCCACAGCCCAGTACTTCTGAGCTCAGCCCAGCCCCACACTGGCCCTCACAGAGGTGATGTGCCCAGAGATGCCTGGTGACGGGCAGCCACCTGCAAAGCAAGGCTGTGACTGCCTGTAAGGTATGTGCCGCTTCCTTCAGAGGTGGCTGAGGGCAGGGCGGTTACAACAGAGAGGCAGACTCGGGTCTGAAATCTAGTGAGCGTGCTAGTGGGGTCTCACTGTGCCACTGGCTCACTGTGTAACCTCAGGCGGGGATCTTGCCCTCTCTGAGCCTCACGTGTGTTAAGGGCTAAATCATCCTACCAAGGGCTAAGTGAGGCGTGCCGTGAAGACCTTCAGGCCAAGCTTCCCCTCCTAAGGTACTTGCTCGGCATGCATACTTCTTCCTTCCAGGTTTCCAGCGGAAGCCTGGGAGTCGGGAAGGGAAGCCTGGGAGTCGGGAAGGGCCGGCGGTCAGCCAGTGCTGGCATTATGTCGTGACTGGGTGAAAGACAGCACTTTCTCTCCTAGTCATCAGACTAGTCCTGAACCACAGGCCCTTCAACCCTGCGTCACTAACAGGAGCTTCAGGCTCGGAGGGTGGGCAAGTTCACGCTGTTTGAGAGCTTAGATGGCCAGGGCCTGCCTCACACCTCCACACCCCAAGCCAAGCTGGGTAGTCACACCCTTGTCCTCCTATGTCCGGCCCCACGCCTTGTCCGAGGCCCTGAGCCCCAGCACTCAATTCCACGCTACATACAGAAACGTGCTTACTTAGCAATGGTGATGCTGGGGTGGTCTTTTCACCCCCACCCCACCCCTCCTCCTAACCCTCCCCCCACCCCACCATCACACCCTCCCCCCCCATCCCCACACATGCAGCAAGTGTTTGTTTGAATGGCTGCTTTTCAGACCAGAAAAGATTCAAAGCTGTAACTAGATCCTGCTGCTGATGGGGGGGAAACCAAGGCAGATGGTGGGAGTGATGAGAGACGCATCACACATCACAGGGACTGGGCCTGCTGTTCCCCACATCTGGAGGGCTGTGCAGGCCTTGTTTGATTTCATTTCCCTCTGCTGGGAAGATGCAGGCCTCTTGGCCAGAGTTCAGAGCACAGCCAAGGCGTGATTCAGAGCTGGGAGGGACACATGTGTGAGGAAAGATTAGCAGAGGCAGGAGAGACAGGCCAGGGTGACTCAGGGCGGATCAAAGCTCGGGGGCTCGGGGAGACACCTGTGGGGCCCACAGGAGGCTGCCAGACACCACTTGGAGCCGTGGAGTACCGCCCCACTCCCCGGCGGCAGAGGGGGAGGGGCGTCTAAGGTCTCCAGTGGCGGTGGCAAAGGCCTCTGTGGGTCACCCACTGTACTGTCTGCAGGGGCTAGTGCCCATGGCAGCCTGTGCACGCTCTGGTTCCTGCTGGCTCTGCTTCTGTCTTTCTGCCCCGGGCAGGCCTCCTCCCTCTCTGGGCCTCAGGATTAAGTCGCCAAGTGCCGTCAGGGGGGATTTTGAGGGTGCCAACCAGAGCACCTCACCAGGTCCGGAGGCGAGCAAGCAAATGGGAGACTGGAAGGACGGCTAACTGGGGGGGCAGGCAGAGAGGAAAGAGGTGGGTGAACCAGAAAGAGGAAGGAGCAAGTGAGAAGGTCTGGTGGTGAGACTCGAACTCTCAGGGAAACGTGGAGGTCCACGGAGAAGGAGCGGCAGCAAAGGCACTCAGAGAAGAGGTGGGTCAACTCCAGAGGGCTTGTGGGGGCCTTCGTGACCTGCCACCTTATCCCAGGAGAATCTACGTCATGAAGAGGGTGACATCCTACAAGGGCCTGAGGACCCAAGTGTAAGTTCAAGCCTCAGGTTCACATAAGCCATCTGTAAGTCAGAGGGGCCAGCACTTCTCTCACAAAGCCTCACGCACACAAAGCCCTTAACACAGCATCCTGTATACAGTAGGTGTTCCATAAGTGCTGGGACAGACACTACAAATGCCTGCTCCATCCCCTGACTCCTTCAGGCTTCTACCCCTGCCCTATCCCCCAAGGGCTATGGCTCCAAGGAGTTGCTGAACCACATGCAGGATAAAAGCCAACAGAGCTTGAGTGGGATGACACCTGGACCCCTGTCCCCACTTTCTCTGTCACATCTGGAGCTGCCC